TGGAGTGTAAGCAGAGAAATAATGGGATCAAGTTTGGCATAGGGGCTTGAGAGTGTTGCTTGTGGGGGTAGAGGTTGCTGGCCTGCCTCAGGGGACTGATTACCTGGGGAGAGGGACTCCTTGTGGCTGGAGGCGCTGCCTGCGGGTTTCTCTTAGGACACCAAACACGAAAAACCCATGCTTCCCTCGCTGCTCCTGAAGCAAAGTGTCTTCTCACAACTTACATTTGAGGGGCCATCAACCACATTCTTCATGGGCAAAGGACTGTGTCTTTGTTTCCCCAGCAGCCAGCACATTGTACACATGCAGGAAATGTCTAAGGTCAGAATGGAGCCGCCATAATGGCAATCAGGAGCCTGGGTAATAGGGGGTTAAGAGCACGGGCCTTGGAGTTTAGATGACCTGTTTCCAGTCTGGTTCCATCACCAGGGCTGGGACTAGGGTGAGGCTGGCAAGGGGCTCAGTGGCCTCACTCTACTCCTAGCCTTGTTCACCACTTACTGTGTGGCCTCAGGAAAGTAACTTTACCTCTCTGAGACTCAGTGGGGATAATAATACCTATTCCACAGAGTTTTTGAGAGGATTAAATAAGATAAAACCTAGTGTTCAATGAGGTCTCAATAAAGGGTAGCTTTTTCCAATTTCTGCATTTGACTGAGTATCCACCAGAGGGCAGTGTTCTCCACACTGGGAAACCAAACCTGCCTGGACGGAGGGCCCCCGCCAGCCCCAGTGAACACACATGCTGGGCATCCTGCTCGTCACTCTAGGACTGGCACAAGCCTGGGAACCAGATTTACTGGGACGCTCTATTCTGTATACCCTAACCACAGACTACCACCATGCCCCCCCAAAGCACTTCCCTCTGCTTGCTGTGCCTCCTCGTCCCCTTTCCTTTGGCAAATGTCTCCTTCAAGTCCCAGCTCCAACGTGACATCTCTGAGTTCATTTTTCCATAGACCAAGTCCATCTGGGCTCCCAAAGCACTTTATCTTTCCTTAATTGTAGCATTTATAGCATTTCATTAAATATGTATTTACATGTAGTTTAGCTAGAGGTTAAGAGTGGGGTCGCCTGGGGACCCACAGCCTGGGCTCTCTTACTTACTGTGTGGCCTTACGCACATTACCCAAACTCTCAGTCTGTTTCCTCTTGTGTCTGCAGCAACACTCCGAGGTGCCAGAAGCTCTGAGTCACAGCAGGCATAGAAGACCAGACCTCCCCGGGGGCTGTAAAGAAGGGCTCCTAATAGGACTCAGCAATCCACAATACTATTTTGCTATGTATATTCAGAGATGTAGTTTGCCTCTTGACCTTCCCAACAATCCTGGCAGACAGGATGGGTAATAAAACTGAAGCTTGGAAGGGGCTTGGAAGGGGAAAATTAAATGACATTATGCATGCAAGGCCCTGGTTTGTTGAATGAATAAATGACTGAATGAATGAGTGAGAGACTGCACACCTATTAAAACCCATTGAGCTGTAAGTGCCTCATGCACAGCGACTGTTTCCCTTCCTTTTTACATTGTTCAGTGTCCAAATTCCAGTACAGGCACATTGTCTAGTGGTTCTCAAAATGGGGTCCCTCCATCCAGCAGCCTCCGTATCACCTGGGAGCTTCTTAGAGATGCCCATGTTCAGGCCCCACCCCTGACCTACTGAATTTGAAACTCTGGGGTGGGGTGCAGCAGTCTGTGGTTTAACAAGCCTTCAGATGATTCCGATGAGCTGAACTTCGGGATCCACTGGCCTAGCACCTAGAGGTTTGAAGGTGTTCGTTTCAATGAATATGTACGTTTGTAAAATATGTGGTTTGAATTAAAATAGGCTGCAAGTTCATTGAAGGCAGGGACCATGGTTTCCCCAGAACCTAGCAGGTGCAGGCACGTAGTAGGTGCTTAAAAAATGCTTGTAAAACAAATGAGTGAAGATCCTTCCCAGCTCTTTTTATAAATCTAAGTCACTTAACTTCCAAGCTTCAGTTTTATTACCTGTCCTGTCTCCCAGGATTGATGGAAGGGTCAAGAGGCAAATTATATCTTTGAATATACATAACAAAATAGTATTGTGGCATTGCTGAGTCCTATTGGGGGCCCTTCTTCAGAGCCCCCAGGGAGGTCTGGCCTTCCATCCCTGCTGTAACCCAGAGCTTCTGGCACCTCGGGGTGCTGCTGCAGACACACACCTGCTAGGCCTTGTCCATCCACGGAAAGAGAAAGTGGACTATTAAACCAGGTGAACAAACACCCTTGACAAGAAAGGAGCAGTGGTTGTGACCCCACCCTGGCACAGGGTAGACGCTCAATAAATATTTGATAAATAAACGACCCTTGTTCAGGAGAGTATAGTGGTTAACAGCATAGGTTTTGGGCAGACAGATCTGGGCTTTTTTCTCCTTGTCTTATTGTTTTGTCCAGGATCACCAGTATGACACTGATTTGCAGGAGTTACAGTGGGTCACCTTGTCTTGTTTCTAAAGTTTCACCATTAAGTATGATACTTGCTATAGAATAGTATTTCCTGTCTGTGCTTAATTAGCTATCTGATTTTTAAAAATCCATGAATGAGTGTTGAATTTTTCAAATGTTTTTCCTGTATCCAGGGAGATGGTCAGATGGGTTTTTCCTTTGTTACTGTGGGGGATTCGAGATTGATTTTTTTCCCCTATTTTGAGGGCAGGAATTTGTGTTGTACACCGCTGTATCCCAAGAGCTGAAATAGTGCCTGACACTTAATAGGTTATTACTTGAATAATGCTGATGTGAACATCCATGTACAAGTCTTTATGTGGACATGTGTTCGTTTCTCTTGAGTAGATAACTAGGAGTGGAATTGCTGGGTCATATGGTAGTTTTATGTTTATCTCTTTGAGAAACTGTCAAATGTTTTCCAAAGTGGCTATGCCACTTTACATCTCACCAGCAATGGAGGAGGGTTATCTGGGAACTTATTTAAACTTTCCGAGCTTGTTTCCTCAACTATAACATGGGGATAATGATAATGCTGATTTAAAAAATAAAATAAAATAAAAATAAATTTAAAAAGTTGTTGCAAGCATTAAATGAGATAATGATGTGTAAAAGAAGGGCTTAGCACAGTGCCAGGCCCAGACATAAGATATTGACTTAATAAATGGCATCTCCCCCTCCGAACCCTGTCTGTGTTAACATCCCAAACCCCAGAGCTTGCTTTGCTTAGCTGGACTAGACTGTCTTCATGCCTTCATGTGAACTGACTCCTTGGTGTCAAGATGCAGACGCTCTTTATGAGTCAGTCTCTTCTAGCCCAGCAGGGCCCAGATCTGGTCCACCACCCTACTGCCCCCAGGGCTGTGTCAACGTTTTGGGCTCAGTGGGCTTTCCTAGGGCAAGAGCTCCACATGGCAGAGGTGGGCCCCTGGGCTGTTCCTAGGGATACTCCTGTTGGGAGACAGGAGAAGGTATTGATTCCTCTGCCTGGAAGGTCTTCCATCCCCCTAAACCAAGAAAAGCCCAAACCACTACTCCCACCCCTCATCATATGCCTTAACCCCATGCTACTCCTGTTTACCCTTTAAGATATAGTTTGGACATCACCTCCTCCAGGACACCTGTGACCCCCCGACCTGCTCCTGTGATGTATTACTGCAACTGTCACATCATGTGTGATTCTATCTTTATGTGTCTGTCTTGTGCGCATCCTGAGGACAGGGACTGGGTCTTATTCATCTCTCTCTCCCCAGTGCCTAGCACATAGTTGTTGTTACCTGTGCCATTCCGATAACTCAGAAATAACTAAGTCTATGTACAAAGTGGAAACCCTGGTGGCATAGTGGTTAAGAGCTTGGCTAACCAAAAGGTTGGCAATTCGAATCTACCAGGCGCTCCTTGGAAACTCTAGGGGCAGTTCTACTCTGTCCTATAGGGTCATTGTGAGTTGGAATCGACTCGACCACAATGGGTATTTGGTTTGTATGTACAAAGTACTAATGATTACATGCAAGTGGGTCAGGGAAAACTCTACAGAAAAGGCTCTTGAACTGGGCCTTGAAGAATAAGCAGGAGCCTGTTCTGCTGAAATGGAGGGAAGGACATCCCAGGTAGAGGAAACAGCATATGCAAAGGCCCAGAAGAAGCAAAATACGTTGTTTTCAGGAACTGAAAAAGTCCAGTGTGGCTATGGTGAGGCTGGGAAGGTAGGCAAGCCAGGTTGTGAATAGCCTTTTATGAGCAGCACAGGAGTTAGAACTTCATCCTGAGGGCAAAAGGGAGACATAGCTGGGCATTAAGCAGGGCAGTGACATGATTAGAATGCTCTGAGACAGTGGAGAGTGTGGGTGCTGCCACTTCAGCTGCATCAGAGTCACCTGGAAGGCTTGTCAAGACACAGATACCTGGGTCCTATCTCCAGGTTTTTGGTTCAGCAGGTGGCACGTGGGGCCTGAGAGTCTGCATTTCTAACAAGCTCTCAGGTGGTGCTGATCTGCTGGTCAGAGGACTATACTTCGAGAACCACTGCTGTAGAGGATGGGGTGGAGAAGAATGTGTGTACCAGTGAGAATATGGAGGCAACTGAAACAGCCCAGAGTGCATTGGTGGTTCAGTGGCAGAATTCTCGCCTTCCATGCAGGAGATCTGGGTTTGAATCCAGGCCAATGCGTAGCCACCACCTGACTGTCAGGGGAGGCTTGCGTGTTGCTATGATGCAGAACAGTTTTCAGTAGAGCTTCCAGACTAGGATGAACTAGGAAGAAAGGCCTGGTGATCTACTTCTGAAAATCAGCCAGTGAAAACCCTATGGATCACAGCAGTCCAATCTGCAACCGATCATGAGGACGGCACAGGACTGGGCAGTATTTTGTTCCATGGTGCATGGGGTCGCCATGAGTTGGGGGCCAACTTGACAACAGCTAACAACAAAAACTGAAATAGCCCAGGTGAGAGGTGATGGAGGCACAGCAGAGCAGGTACTCACAGTTTAGATTTTGATGCTGCTAACTTTTCAGTGTCCTAATGGTGAGATTTTACGCATGGTAATAAGTCAGTGTCAGGAAAGGGAGGCCATTTTGGGGGAACCAGACCTATAGGGTCGCTATGAGTCAGAACTGACCTGACAGCACCTAACAACAACAAGACCTATAGCTGGTAACAAGTTCAGAAAGCACAACAAAGACACGGTGCCCAGAGTTGCCATTTAATGCCCAATCATCACAACTCAAGGAGGCTTACCTGGTGCTCATCACAGCAGGACCCAGGATGAAACCACAATGGAGGGCGATGATCAGTGTGGAGTCTCAGCACAGGGACCAGGTGCCCTCGGGCCCCACTCACCCTCAAGACAAATGTACCGTATACAAGGCTTCCTCATCTCACCCAGGAGCCAGCAGGCTGGGGGGCTTGTGATCACCATGGTTAAGAAGGATCCTCTGGGAGAACGGGGTCCCGGGATGAGGTAGGGACCTCAGGACACAATAATAAGAACCAGAAAGCTACTCCCCAGCAACCCCAAGAGGCTTTCACTTCAAACACGCTAAGCCACACAACGCTCGGATGCTAGGAAAACCCAAACTCTCGCTAAAAACTCTAAACGCTGTGCAGAACTGGAGGCTGAGAACACTTCAGGAGGGAAAATAAAGTCAAAGCCATCCTAAAGCCAGTTTTATAAGCTTCACCATCTCCCTCTTCTCCCTGCAGCCACACTACCCGACTGCCACATTCCCGCGGAGAAGGGACACTGTTCCCATCTATCATTCTAGCGCCTTTAACAGCAAGGGACTCAGGAACATGTCCCTGTTTTTAAGAAACTTCTTTGAAGCTCCAACTCTACTAGACTACTTAATGCTACTGGGTTCCCTGGAGTGCCAGTCTTTGATGGTCCTGGGGACACGGGTGACTTGGGCTGCTGGTGGGGCAAGGAAATTTCCTGGCAGAAATCACGTACCTCGGGAACAAACTGGCTTTTCTTCTGCCCTAGTTTTAAAGCTTACCTGGCCCTAAAAGAAATACTGCATGAAATGGCTTTCTTAAAGCACTCTATGGAATTGGGGGGTTTCAAGTGTCACTGGCAAGAAAAGAGGCATGAGCTTGTTTCTCACACCAAGCCTGAGGCTTGGCCTGGGTGGTCCAGCCACTCGTCCAGGCAGGGTATGGAGGGGTGACACAGGATGGAGCTGGGGCAGCTGCTCAGGATACAGGCCATGGACCCAAGGGGCAGCCCCTATGTCCATCCCTAAGGCTGGGCATTTGGGGAATGAGCTTTAAATCCGGCCAGATCTCAGCATTAAACTCATTCCTGTTGCATCTTGCAGGCCCCTTCTTCCTTTTCTCTAATTCAGTCCTAGGAGGTAGCTTAGACGGAGCCCAAGGCAAGGAAGTCAAGCATCTCTGTCCTTGGGGAACTGATCAAATGGCAGCTCAGCAAAGACCTCAGAATGGCAACGTGATCTCCAGCTCCACTTGTCCTGAACCAGATCCCACAGAGCATCCCACCCCTGCCCTGATACAGGTGCCCAGGTGGTCCTTTGGCCCTGGGCATGCTGGAGCTCAAGCTGGGCTTCTGATGAGACCCCTGTGAGTATCCGAGGAGGGAAAACCAAAGGTATTTCTTTAAAGCACAAAAAATGAGCCCTGCTTGGAGTAGGGGTATCTGTGACCTGCTGACCTTTCCTGGGCTGGGGGCTGACTTGTGAGCCCAGGAAGTTGAGCAAATGACAAGGCACAATTGTCCCCAGCTGGGCATTAGCTCACATAGGATCCCAGTCCCAAACAAGCCCATACGCCAAACTTTAGGTGCCAGTAAGTCAGCTTAGGAGCAGTCAAGAAGAAGGCCAATTTCACATTTTAAACCAACTTAATGCTACAAACTTTCAAGAAAGTGCTGCCCAGCTGAAGCCCTGAGGAAATCTAGCTCCCTGAGGGTAGGTGGGGGTGGGCTCTCAGACCACCACTCCTGGCTGCCTCTCTCCAGAAGGCATGGCCTGGCTTCAGCCCAAAGCACCTGCATCCCAGGCTGGGTGTCGGGGGAGACAGTGCAGGACAGTCAAGCCTTTGAGGGATAAGATGAAGCCAAAAAACACTCTCGAGACTCTAAGCCTGAGGGGGTAACATGAGCCCACCTCCCCAGTAGCTGCCGAGGCCTGGTCTGCAGTGAAGACCCCTTCCTGACACGCCCTCGTTATTCCTGTGATACAAACAGAGGAGCCAACACACCACCAAGCTCTGGTCACCTCTGCCCTTAGGGGTCTGTGTGAAAACCAAGTGGGTGGAAATCATTAAAGAATCACCCTCTTCAACAAACGTGGCAAAAAAACATCCTCTCAGGGAAGGGTGTTGGGGGACAATACCAGCAGCTACCAGAGGGAATGTTTTCAGGCAAAGTTACTTTCACCAGAACGCCTCATCCTACCCTCTCCCTTCTCTATGGTGGAGCTGCCTCTGTCTCCCAGGTCCCTGGTGTAAAACAGCCCCTGTACTAGGGCAAGACAAAAACTCTGAGGAGAGCTGCCCAAAGCAGCCAGTACAACTGCCTCCACATTCCTGTCTGGGTTCTCCTCAGGAGCACTCTCTGCTGACTCCCCAGAGGATCATTTTTACATTCTCAGGGGAGGGAGAGGTAAGGAATTCCGCAGGAAGAGGACTCCTTAAGTGGCTGCTCTCTCAGCCCCAGAGACTCCTCAGGAGCCTTGATGCCCCCTGCCCTTGGATGGCTCCCAGGAACCATTTCCTGGACAGAGAAGACCTAGAATCCAAGGCTAACACCGCAGCTGGAGATATCTGGCTGAGAGGAGGAGGTCAAAGGGCCTGCAACCACCACTTACTAGAATTTCGAGGCCTAAGTGCAATTAGCGCTCTGGCAGACTAGATGGCCCCTCAGAGACCTAGCCCCTCACTGCTGAGGGGAAATCTGGGAGCTGGCCCGGGGCTCTGGAAGCCAGGGCCAGCCCTAGGACTGTGGACAGTGCTGGGCCTGTCTGAGGAGAAGTCTTGCTAGAACTAGAACTGTCTCCCTGCTAAAACTCAGGAAGACAAAACTCAACCTGAAATAAATACAAAGGCATTAAGTGCATCTTGATAAATTGAGGGTCCTAACTACCCCTCAAAAGGAACTGGCAGGGCCTTTTCCTAGACCTGTTTGTCTCACCTGTGGCCCTTCACGTAAGAGGTCAGAGGTCAGAAGACTAGATGAGCCTCCCCCAAGCCCAGCTCCCATTAGGAAAGACAGGACCCAACCCCTGATACACTCCTCACCTATATCCCCCAAGTCCCCCAAGACAGCTTCTGCCAGCCAGGGGGTGGGGAAGGAGAGGAGACCCTCACACCCTAGGGCAGCACCTTGTGTCCATGTCCCTGTATGGGCAGAGGTCTTGTCAGTCTGTCCGTGAGGAGGTAGAGATAGGGGCAGGGCTGCTAGGGTAGGCAGGGCCACTCAATTAATCAACAGGTCCCCAAGGTCATAGGAGTCGAAGAGGTCACTGATGCCCTCGCCCCCATCCAGGCCCCACAGGTAGTCGTCCTGATCCAAGGGTGGGGAGAAGCTGATGAGTGGGGAGCTGCATTCCAGCGTTGGGGACAGGAACTGGTCCTCAGTCTGCTGCAGAAGTGGATGTGGCAGCTCCAACATGCTGTCAGTGGCCTCCAGGGGGACAAGGGGTGGCTGCGGGACCTGCTGGGGAGTCATCGCTGGCACTGGAAACAAATAGCCAAGGATCATGTTTGGCTCTGATGCTCAAACCCCTTTGGGTGCGGCTCTGTACCAGGGTCAGACCTCAGAGCACAAGGTCAGCCTTCTCGCTCTCTGGACTACTGTGCCCCCTTCTTTCTCCCTGACCTGCCCAACCTAATCGCATAGGGACACCCTCATCACAGTCAATGAAACCACCACTCACTCAGTTGCCCAAGCCAGAAGGTCCAAGAATCATCCACAATTCCACCATTTCCTCCACATCCAATCCAGCAGCAAGTTTAGTCACCCCCACAACCAAATGAATTCTCCAAGCGGCCCATTTCTCTTCAGCTCCACTGCTGCAATCCTGGTCCAAGTGCCCTCCTCGCTCACCTAGACCACCGCGGGAGCCCCTCACCTGGACGACTGTGAGAACCCCTCATCTGGACCATTGCAGGAACCTCCTCACCTGGACCACTGTGGGAGTCCCCTTGCTAGTTACCTCACTTCCACTCTTGCCCCGTATAGTCTGTGCTCTAACTTAACTTAAAAAACCCTAATGCCTTCCCATTGGCTTAGAAAAAAATCCAAGTTCCAGTCAGGGTTGAAAAGACTCTGCGTGATCTGGCCCCTGCCTACCTTTCTACCTGCCTCGCAGCTTCCTCCCACAGTTCACTCCCTACTCTAGACACACTGGCATTGGTGATTCTTCAGCACACCAGCTCATTCCCACTGAGGGGGAAAAAGGTGATTTCTTACACAGGGGCCTGGAATGAGGCTCCAGAAATCCCCCACAAAATATATCCTGATGCCTGGAATCCCACCATTTAAGTCATTCCTTCAAGCAAGCATCGTTTTGAAAATACCACAGCTCTGCTGTGCCAGACTGCTCGATCAACCTCTCACTCATTGTGTAACTGTGGGCAGATGACCGACTTTTTCTGAGCCTGTTTCCTTACCTTTAAAATGGTGATAATAACTGTACCTGCCTGAAAGGGTTGTTGAGGGGATTAAATGATAAATGCACATAAAGAAGAGCTGGCCTGCAGAAATCCCATGTTGGGTCCAGCATCCTGCCCTTCTTAATAATAGCCCCCATTTACCACGGGCTTACCAGGGGCCCACTCTGCTGTCAGGCCGAGGCACGCTCCACCTCCTCTGACACTCAAGCAGCCCTGAGGTAGGCAGTGCTGCTACCCCATTTACAGACGAGGAAACAAAGGCCCAAACAAGCCAATTAAATGTATTTGAATAAAAAACCAACAACTTAATGTTTGTTTAGCACATTTTGAAGGCATGCTAGGGTTACTGAAAAGAGGCCAGGATCTGGAGCCAGAAGGCCATGGGTTCGGGCCCCAGCCCCAGCTCTCACTAGCTGTAGGTCCTGGTGCCTCCATTTTCTCATCAGGAATAATAAGGATCCACCTCACTGAGTGGCTGGGAGCAGTAACTGAGATAATACATCTGAAAGCCTTGACTACATTGGACCTTGCTCTCTTTGTTCCTGTTTATTGCATCCAAATAGACTTGCTCTGTAACAGCTGTCTCTTCATCCAACTCTGAACATCTCTTGCTGGCGGGGGCTGTGTCTTATTTGACTTTGTATCTCTCACACCCAGCACAAGGCCTGGCATATAGTAGGAGCTCAGTTCACACTAGCTGTTTCGAAAATCACATTCATGCTATATTATCTCCTATAGCCACCCAATAATCACAAAGGAGTTTTAAGTGTCCCCATTTTAGAGTTGTAAAAACAGAGACTCAGGAAGGTTAAAGTGACAAGTCACTGAGAAGTGAGGGGCAAACTAGAACCCAAGTTTTCTAATTTCAAATCTCATGCCCTGTCAGCTACACTTAGGTTTACCTCAGAATGTCAGAGCCTCAAGGGATGTTAGAGATGGTTCTTGCCCAAACCCCTTCCACTACAGATGAGGGAAACTGAGGTCTCAAAGGGTTGATGATTCCCCCGTGATGCCAGAACTAGGGTCAGAAGGGATCTTGAGACTATAGTGGCCACCTCTTTGGGCAGGCATGGCCATGGGTGCTCAGGCCTGAACTCTACTTCAGGCCATAACATGGAGCCTATGTGTCTATGTTGGGTGAACCTTCTGGAAAACTTCCTCCCCTTCCTTTCAGCCAGAGAATATGAGGCCACGTGGCAAGGGGAGAGGGCAGCCACAGCACAAGCCCTGGCATGGATGTGAAGAGAACTGGTTTCTGGGCTGGGTTCACCACTAACTGCTCTTAGGCCTGTGTAAACCTCTACCTCTGCTGGGCCTCAGGCTCCTGACCTGTAAAATGGAGGTAAAAACCCTGCCCTTGCTTAAACATGGGGTCCCCCACCTCCACCAAGGCCCCAGGACAACCAAAGTGAAGGGGTTCTAACTTTGGAGAGCTGTGTGCATGTTGACAGTCAAGTGAGATGGCAGAGCAGGAAGAGGAGGGAAAACAGGGTGGGGCGCAGGTCTGGGGTGGGAGATAGCTACCGGGGAGGTGCCCAGAGGAACAGATGGTGGGTTCAGGGAAAAGCCCTGCAGGGGGAATCTGGGTGAGGCCGACAGACACAGGAGAAATCACCAGAGTCCTGAGACTGGGCTCTTGTCCCAGCTCTGCTACCAACTTGCTGTGTGACCTATGGGAAGCCACTTGCCCTTTCTGGGCCTCAGTTTCTTCATGTATAAAATAAAGGGTTGAGTTAGATCAGGGGTTAGCAGTCTTTCTGTAAAGGGCCAGATAGTATTTTAGGCTTTGTGGGCCACTTATGGTCTCTGTCACGTAGTCGTCATCATTTTGTTTTTCACGATTCTTAAAAACGTGAAAACAATTCTTAGCTCGTGGACCTACACAAACAGGCCTGCAGGCAATAGTTTATTGACCTTTGAGTTACAGAAATGGAATCTAACCTGTGTTCTGCAGAAACCCCCTGCAAGCCTCTTTCATCAGACCAGTTCTAGCTCTGCTTTTGTTTAAATACTCGGGTTCTATTTGGGGAAATTCTACTAAGAAAACAAAATGTGGAACACTGGCCTATGTGGCCTCAAAGGCTGCAGCCAGTCTAACCTGCTGCTTGGGCCCAGTAAAGGCAAAATCCCTGCTGGAGAAGGGAGGGACCATCATGGGCCCCCATCTCTGACCCTCCCAATCCCCACTCCCCCTGGGAGGCCTTCAAGAACCTCTTCCACCTCTCTGCTCCCCGGCAACTGCCGCACACCCCCTCCTGCCAGGCGTAGCCAGCTTTGAGCCCTGCTGTCCTCCTCCCCAGCCAGGAGCCCCATCCTTGGTTTGTCTGTGCCTTGTGGAGAAAGCCCTGGGCTGGAGTGTGTGAAGACCAAGGTTCAAGATGTGGCTCCGTCACCTCCTGGCTGAGGAACCCTGGACAGATCACGTCATTTCCCTGCCTCAGTTTATTTATCTCTAAACTAGAAATAAAAAAACCTACCTCACGAGTTGCTGTAAGGAGTAATAGATAATGGGTGTACCCGATTTACAGTTGTGGTTTAAAAAACCTTAGTTATTCTCCCCCAAGAAAGTTTTTAGCCCCTCTCCACCCAAAAAAACTCTATAGTTTCCATTTACTGTGGACTTACTGAGCACCAGGTGCTCTGCCATTAGCAGTTGTCATAGGAGTAGCAATACTAGTGGTGGCAGTAATGATAATAATAAAACTGATTGTCAGTGAGTCGATTCCAATTCATGGCAACCCTATGTGTGTCAGAGTAGAACTGTGCTCCACAGGGTTTTCAATGGCTGATTTTTCAGAAGTAGATCGCCAGGCACCTCTGGGTGGACTCAAACCTCCAACCTTTTGGTTAGCAGTGAATGTATTAACTATTTGCATCACCCAGGGACTCCAATGATAATAATAGCTAACAGTTATTGCCAGGTACTCTTCCATGTACCTTTCCTATATTAACTCATCGAACCTTCACAAAAACCTATGAGGTAGGTATTACCATTATCAATTACTATGCCCTTTACAGATGAGGAAATTGAGACAGAGAGGTTAAGTAACTTGTCTAAGGTCACAGAGCTAGTAAGGGGAAGAGCTGGGATTCAAAGCCAGGCCTTCAGACCCCGGAGCAGCATTGGCCTCCCCAGTGAGACAAGGAATGTGCACGCGCTTTATAAATTGTAAAATGCAATGCAAAGAGCCACGGCAGTGCAACAGTTAAGTGTTCAGCTATGAACCGAAAGGTTGGCAATTCGAACTCTGGGGACATTTTAATGTCATAAGCACTAGAAAGACCTGGTGATCTGCTTCTATAAAGATTACAACCAAGAAAATCTATGGGGCAGTTCTACTCTGTCACATGAGGACGCGATGAGTCAAAATCAACTTGACGGCACCTAACAACAACAACAAAGTGCAATGCACACATGCTGGGGACAATGACTGTACCCCTTGCGGCTGGGTAGATGGTAGGTCCCCAACAAATGCTGACCAAGAAGAGGAAACTCTAAGGCTGGTTACTCTCCCCACTTTGTGTCCCTCTGGATAGAGTGCCCTACCTGAGGATGCTTCAGGTTCCACGATCTCAGGGCTGGTACCGTTGCTTGGCTGGGCAGAGTCAGGGCTGGGGTCAAGGGTGGAGGTGGAAGGCAGTGGCTCCTTGGCAGGGCTGTCTGGCTCTTGCACTTCCTCCGGACACAAGTAGACTTCGATGGGTCCTTGGGTACTCTTTAGATATATCTGTAGATTCTCCTGGAAGAAGAGAAGCCAGGCCATAGCTGTGTGGGTCAGTGTATGTGGACAGACACACGTGGCTCCAGTGGCCCATGTGAGTAAGCTGAAGTCCTGAGCTGGGCACTAAGGCCTGTCCCATCTAGCCTATGGTGAATATTTCCTGTTTCTGCCTCTCTGGCCCCAAGCCTCCTTGTTTTAGAAAGAGACTTGATTTTCCTTTGGGAAACGACTTCTCCCCGACTCTCAGGTCATGTAGTTTGGGTAGGGCCAGCACCCTTCCCCAACCCCAATGGGTGAGCTTGTGATGCAGGCTGGGAAAGTCACAGTGAATGGTTCATGGTGGCACAGACTCAGGTCAGTCCAACAAGCATTTGGTCTAGGACTTTTGCTGGACTTGTGGAAACAGAAGCTGCCTTCCCAATGGAGTTGCTGAGCCAGAAGCACAAAGCCTGTCTCTGCCCCCAGAAGGGGAGAGGCTGCCTGGGAGTGAAGTCTGCACAGAGGAAAGCAGGGTGAGAGATGGAGTGTGAGACAGACATTGAAGTCATAGTCTGAGCCCCTGGATCCAGCCTTGCCTGAAATCCAAATCTTCTCCCTGAACTTGCCATTTGGTTCCTTTTTTCCTCCCCCTGCTTAAGTCAGTTGGACTTGGCTTTCTGTTAGTTGCAACCAAGACTCCTGATACTTAGCTTCTCACCCCTGCCTCTTCCCAACCATATTCCCAAAACTTAAGCCACTCTAGGCTACACACACACCATTCTGGCATGCTTTCAGGCTTCTAGCCTTTGCTCATGCCGCCCCCTCTTCACCTGGCGAAAATCCTATTCATTCTTGAAGACTCAGTTTAACTGTCACCACTTATGGATGCTTCCTCCAACTTCCTTTCCCTGTTCCCTCAAAGCACATCCTCCATCTATAAATGACAGCATCATGATTTGCTTGAGTCTTTTTCCCACTCAGTCCTGAGCAGGGGCAGGGCCTTATTTATCTCTGCAGCCCTAATTCTTCCATTAAATAATTTCTTGAGCCCTTATTATGTGCTAGGCCCTGGGCTGAGGGTTCAACATGGGCAGAACATTCTCTTATGGAGCTTACGTGCTAACAGATGAAGCAGAATGTAATCATGTAATCACCCAAATATATCACAGCAAGTGGAGGTTAAGTGCAGTGGAAAAGCACAGGTTGTTATGAAGTCTGGGGGTGATCAGGGAAGACTTCCCCGAGGAAGCAACATTCAAGTTGAAACTTGTAGGATGAATAGCAGTAAACCAGGCAGAGAGAGAGAAGAGCATTTCAGCTGGAGGGAACAGCATGGGTGAAGGTCTTACTCTGGGGATGAACTTGTTGTTAGCTGCCAATGAGTCAGCCCCTGACTCATGGTGACTCCATGCACAATGGGATCAGACTGTTGTGATCCATAGGGGTTTCACTGACTAATATTTCCGAAGTAGGTCACCAGACCTATCTTCCTAGTCTGTCTTAGTCTGGAAGCTCTGCTGATACCTGCTGAGCATCACAGCCACACGCAAGCCTCCACTGACAGATGAGTGGTGGCTGTGCTTGAGGTACACTGGCAGGTAACTAAACCCAGGGCTCCTGCGTGGAAGGTGAGAATTCTACCACTGAACCACCACTGCCTTCTTACAGGGATGAGTTTAATGTGGTAAAAAACTGCAGGCAGGTCAGTGTGGCTGAAGCAAAGAAAACAGAGGGGGGTTAGGGCTGAAGAGAAGGCTGGTGAAGTCTGTTGGGGCCAGAAGATGAAAGGCCTTTTAGGGAGCTTTAAGAATTTTGGTCTTAAAGCTAAGTGAGGAGTCCCTGGATGGCAGAAATTAAGTGCTTGACTACTAGATGAAAGGTTAGCAGTTTGAACTCACCCAGAAGTGCCTCGGAAGACAGGCTTCTGAAAGGTTTCAGCCTTGAAAACCCTATGAAGCAATTCTACTGTGCACATATGGGGTCGCCAGGAGTCAGCACTGACTCCACAGCAACTAACAAAAACCTAAGACAGCAATGGTTAGCACAAATGGATTACTGTGAGTACTAACGTCTTAGTGTGTGGGCCCATGTGTGCAGGAACGCAGGGGCTGATGGGGCACAGAAAGAGACCAGGAACAGAGATTTTCTCAGACCAGGACTTGTGCAGGAACGCAGGGGCTGGTGGGGCACAGAAAGAGACCAGGAACAGAGATTTTCTCAGACCAGGACTTGGGCTCTGTTGCCCTTTCTGGCCGCCACCATTTCTGCCCACCAATATTGCCAAGGGCACCAGAATGGACCCAAGAGGGTTGGAGCTGGACAATGGGCAGTGCCAGGGACAGAGCCTGCAAAGCTACCTGGGACGCTCCAGCCCCGCGCTCCCCCAAACGCTTCCCCTCTCACCTCGCTCCTATCAGGCACTTCCAGTCTCGTCTGCGGAGGGGCTTTGACGGCAATTACCGTCTGTTCCTTAAAGCTGCCAACAGCCCGGAGGTCCTGGTAAGTCACATAGGCCAGTGTAGGGGCAGGAAAGTCAAGAAAAGTGACTGTCTGCTCAGAATCCAAACCCCCAGCCCGCCAGGCAGTGCCTTAACCCACATCCTAAGCCCCTGAAACACCTCTTTCTCATTTCTTATATAGCTTTAGAAATAATTTAAAAACTGTAATGTTCTTTTAATGTCATAAGCTACCTCAGATCCCTTTAGAAAGCAAGTGGGGGTATAAGTCATAAAAATGCTGCTTTATATCAGCCTTGTACGTAAAGACTTCCTCTCTCAAACTAGGTCATTAACAGGCCAGAAAACAGGTTTTATTTCTTTATGTTTCTCACAATGCCTGCTATCCTTCCAAACAAACAGGACCAGATCCAAAATACAATTAGATGGTGTAACCCTTTGGGAAAATGTATAAAGAGCCTTAGTAAATTTAGGTCATGCTCTTTGATCTCATCATTTCAATCCTAGGAATCCAGCATAGCTAAATTAAAAAACACATGGGAAAATGCTCTATATACAAAGATATTCACTGCAGGGTTGCTTATAAAAGCAAAATCTAGAATCAGTCTAAATGTCCATGACAGGCCTTATCAATAGACCAGAGTGGTGTCTGAGTAGGACATTCTCAAACCATTTTAAATATACTGTTTGTATAGGTAAAAAATGGTCACATATCACCAATTTTATATGGATCAACCTAATAGTCGTAAGATCTGTAACAACATAGAAAAGGTTTATGGTAATATAGTAAGTAGAGGGGGAAAAGAAAACCCCATTGCCGTAAAGTTGATTCCGACTTATAGCAACCCTATAAGACAGAGTAGAACTGCCCCATAGGGTTTCCAAGGAATGGCTGGTGGATTTGAACTGCTGACCTTTTGGTTAGCAGCTGAGCTCTTAACCACTGCACCACCAGGGCTCCAAGTAGAGAAAAGCAGGATATAAAATGTTATGTACCACAGGCATACAGTGGTATTTAAAGCACACACTCCCTGTGCATAGTTAAGGAACAATGGCTGTGTTAAGGTGGTATGTCAATATTTCTTCCTTTCCTCCATTTTCCAAATTTAAAGAAATGCACTTGTCTTATTTTTATAATGAGAAAGTAACTTTAATAGACTGGAGAGGAAAAACCATCAAGGAAGGAAGAAACAGAGGTGCCAGACCCCTAGGGTGAATCAGACCTTGCAGGGAGCCATTGATTCAACTCTGGACAGATACAAACATGCAACAGGCCACAAGAATCCAGCTCCCTGTCCCGCCCCCTATCCCTAAGCAAGACTTGCGAGTACTACCCCCATCCCCAACCACCAAAGTGGATATCTCTTGTTGGTCTTGTCCTCAGTCAGGTGCTTAAAGTTCACAGAGCAGCTCTGGATGAGCTGGTCCAAGGCCTGCTCCATGCTCATCAGCTCCTTCAGCTCCTGTCCTAGCTGCTGCTGCTTCCCAGGCCGGGAGGGATCTTCAAGCACTCCCCTGCCTCTGGGAACAGAAAAGCCCCCCAGTGTCAGTTTCAGTCCATACCCAGGGACCCCAACCCCAGGGTTGCTGCAGAGAGAACTGCACAGTCGGCATGTGGCCAAACTCCAGGGCGATGCTGTTCACATGATTCTGCAATGGTACCCCCAGGGTTGTGTAACTCATTGGTCCTGCCTAGCTCCCTGGGAGTTGCCAGGGATTAGAACTTGAGGCTTGGGGTTGAGCTAGGGAGAAAAAACAAGTCAGGGCCTGAACCCCATTTTGGGGAGGCTCAGCTATGCCCATCCTTACGCCCCAAACCAAAAACCAAACGCACTGCCATCAAGTTGATTCCGACTCACAGTGACCCTATAGGACAGAGTAGAACTGCCCCATAGGGTTTCTAAGGCTGTAAATCTTTTTTTAAATTTTATTGTGTTTTAGGTGAAAGTTTACAGTGCAAATTAGTTTTTCATTCAAAAATTTAATACACAAATTGTTTTGTGACATTAGTTGCTATCCCCACAATGTGTAAGCACTCTCCCCTTTTCCCCACCCTGGGTTCTCTGTGTCCATTAGTCCAGTTTTCCTGTCCCTTCCTGCCTTCTCATTTTTGCTTTTTGGATAGGTATTGCCCATTTGGTCTTGTATATTTGACTGAACTAAGAACCACGTTCCTCACGTGTTATTGTTCGTTTTACAGGCCAAGGCTGTAAATCTTTAAGGACGTGGACTGCCACATCTTTCTCCCATGGAGCGGCTGGTGGGTTCGAATCAACGACCTTTTGGTTGGCAGCCGAGTGCTTTAACCACTGCGCCACTAGGGCTCCTCCCTATGCCCCAGCCTCCCCCAAACGGCAGGGAGCTGGAGTGACTTCAGTCCTGACTCCCTCACCTGCATTCTTAGGGTTCATGCCAGTAGCTGTAGGCCTGCTCTCCAAGACCTTCTAGAAGTCGGGAGAAGAGTCTGTGTTAATCCCGGCTCAGCTCTGAGGGGACTCCCCTAAGCTAGAAGAGAAGAATCTTGGGATCCTTGATTCAGATGAAGGGGTGTGAGGTCCCCTTATGCCTTTACATCTCCGAGGAATACTTCTCTGCGGTGCGTCATCCACACAGCGCTTGTATACTTGTTCTCCCCCGTAGATTAGCTCCACCCCCAGCGCTTGTGTCCATTGGACGATGCTCTCAGCTCCGCCCCTGACATTTACTCCCACTGGATAATGTCCCAGCCCCGCCCCCGGCCCATGCACCCATTGGATGGTGCCATGGCCCAGCCCGGCACTCACACCCACTGGATGTTGTTCTTGGCCTTCTTGCGGATGAGCTGGATGCCCTCCAGCACGTTGGTGATGTCATAGATGCGCCGCTTCTGCACGTCCAGCACCTCCGCGGCCCAGTTCAGGTCCAGGACCCCATCCTCGGACTCGCTCAGGAGGTAAATGAACTTCTTGGTGAGCAGCCCCAGTGACGTGTCATACCGTGTCTTCTCTCCAGGGGACTTGGGGGCTGAGGGGGAAAGGGTCTCAGTCACAACTCGGGGATGGCCAGCCTGTGGGGGGCCCTCCTCCACTGACCTGGACTCACTAAGCACCACCCTTCACATGAGCACCCACTTTGCAGTTTACTGAGCACTGTGGGCAGGGGTTGTTCACCACACTGTATAGACAGGGAACCTGATGCCTAGACAGGAAGAGTGACTTGCTTACAGTGTCACAGCCAGGTGCCAGAGTCAGGACTGGAAGCCAAGTGTCCTGACTCCTAGTTCAGTACTGTTTCCATCACACCTTAGGGCAACCATAAACACAACAAATGCTTATTGTGTGCAGGGCACTGTTCTAAGAGCTTTCTGTATACTAACACATTTAATCTTTATAATAACCCTATAAGGTCAGTGTACAGCCAGCCCCATTTTATAGATGAGAATACTGAGGCACAGAGAGATTAAATAAATTGCTTGGCTCACTCAGCTAGAAAGTGGCAAATCTGGGATTCAAATCCAGGCAGTCTGGCTCTAGAGTCCTCCTTCTTAACCACTGTCCTATCCTGCTACTTCTACGTCAGGAATTTGGAATTCACATAGGGAAGGAATGACAAGCCTGGATTCGAGAACACTTTTTATAGACACACACTTGCTTTTTCTTTTCAAGCGTAGTCCCTTGATTATCTGAGAGGAATCAGACCTATAGATCAAATGGGGCAGGTTCATGAAAAAGGTCCCTTTCTCAACGAGGACAATGTCACAAGACCACATCTCAGCTACAGCATCTCAGACCACAGGGGACTTTTGCAACCAAGTGACTTGCAAGTCATATAGCAAGTTAGTGGCCAAACTAGTTCCAAAACCTGGGTCTTAGAGAGTCTCAGATTCCTCTGGAAGGGGACTTTAGAATCCTTTAACACATAGGTGGCAGATGTTTGGCACACAGGTTTCTTTGTCAGGCTTTACACTCATAGTAGACATTAGCAATTGATTAGTACACTCTTTTTCACAAGCCCCAATGAGGGTTAGGCTCTCTGGGCAGCCTCTACCAATCAACTGGAGAGGAAACGTTCTTGTCATTCCTGATCTAGCTGTGCCTCATTTTACAGGAGACAACTAGAATTCACAGAAGAGGAGTGACTGGTCAGGTTGGAACAGAACCCTACCCAGACTCTCCAAATTTCTGACCCTCATACTTCCCACACAGCCACATACCTTCCTCACTAGGTCTGTGACCCCTCTAAACTAGCTTTCCTCCCAAATACAGTTGCCTAAACTCCCACTCTGGCCAGAATATTGACTAAAATTCCCTCCAGCTTAGCTTTAGGTAGGCACTATCCTGACAGCCTCTGGATCTTAAAAACCTCTGAGGTGGCACGGGTTGGATTAATACAAGTTTCACTTCCCTTTGTTCACTTATTTAGCTCTCTGTCTATAAGTGGGACAAAGACCCTGGTTAAGGTCTTGCTCCTCTCTGAGCTGGATATTCTCTTTTGGAAAAGGCAGACTGGACTAAATGTAAAAACTTTTAATAGTGTTGTCGTGCGCTTTCAATTCCGACGACTCATAGCGACCCTATAGGACAGAGTAGAACTGCCCCATAGGATTTCCCAGGCTGTAATCTTTAGGAGAGCAGATCGCCAGGTCTTTTCTCCCATGGAGCTGCTGATGAGTTTGAACTGCTGATCTTTTGGTTAGCAGCTGAGTGCTTAACCATTGCATCACCAGGGCTCCTTTTGTAAATAGTAACCTCCCCAGATAAAATGTGGGTCTTCCTGCTTAGATTACGAGAGCAATAGTATGGTATGGTACAAGTAATGCAAGACTTACATGTCCGAGTTCTAGTCCTGATTCTGTGCACTAGCTCTGTGACCTTGGGCATGTCACTGAAGCTGAGTCTCAAGTTGCCTCATCAGCAAAAGGGGACTAATCAGACTCTCTGGCAGGATCAAGTGAGAAAATGCACAGGAAGCTGTTTTGTAAACCGGAAAGTGTGATACAAATATTACTCCTGATGACTTGGGCAGGGCTGCTACCCTCAGCCCCACCCCACCCCTAATCTCCTGAGCCTGCCCTGAGCTGCCCATCAGCACGCTTACTTTTGGGGCTGGGGAGGCCATCCACTCTGATGCACTTCCCCTTGGGAGTCCGGAATTCAGGAACTGCAGGCCGCCCGATCCCCTCTAGGTCCAGCTTCCTCTTGGCCTTGGAGATTAGAGAGAGAGGCAGAGGGTGAGAATCATTTCTCTTTTAGCCTTTTCCTGGCCTAGGGGCACCAGCAGCCATCTCCTGTGCCTCAGTTTACCACCAGTCCCAGTGAAACATCACTGCACTTGGAAGTATCAAGGATTTGAGAAGTGACCTTTCAGGAAGAGAGGAAGTCCTATTTTCTGAGAGGCAAATGCCTCTCTCATCCTCCGAGACCCCGGCACTTCAGACCCAACTAAAGCCAGTCTGGCCAAGGGCTCAGGGTTCGTTAATAACAGGCCTCAAGCTGCTTCTCCACACCCCCTCCCAGAGGAGGATGCAGGGAGGAAGGAGTAGGTGGGGCCTAAACCACATCAGGCTGGGGAGAGGCCCCCCTGCAGAAGCAGCTGGCCAAGCCAAGCCTGGTGCCCATCACAGCCCCACAGCTGGCTCTTATCAGGGTGGGTCTGGGCGGATGCCAGGGGACTTCCTGGCTCTGTGCCACACCCCAGGGAGGTGCCCATGTAGGGAAGCAGTGCAAACATCTCCCCCAAGTTTGGGCTCCAGCCCTTTCCTGAATAGACTCCCTTTGCCATTCTTTCTTTGCCTCGAGGGGCAGACAATGAATCCTTCCCCTGTCTTAAGGACAAGCAGCTGAGGCCCACCCCCTCCCCCTTCCCGCCAAGCTTGGGAAACACCTGCTGGGGAAATCAAACCACAGACCCATCTGCTCCTCTCCACCCCACTGCCACCCGGCCCCAATTAGGCCCAGAAGCTGCACTGTCCCGGAAGCGGCCTCTCCTATTTAGGGCTGGGAAGGGGCAGGGCTAGGGCACTGGGGCACAGGTCAGAGCCCTGGGCTTGAATCTCCCAGCTCCTTCACGGACTCATTGTGTGACTTGAACAAATGTTCCACATCTAGGAGCTTCAGTTTCCTCCTCTGCAAATTGGGGCCGAGAATACCTACCTCAAAGGCTGTTGTGAGGATTTGAGGAGGTGACATCTATACAGTGCTCAATCTGTGGCTCAGCACCTTGTAGGTGCTTAGGAAATTCGAAGTCCCTTCTGTAAAACCCAATCTCGGCCTCTTCCTTGACACACCCTTCTGGGGGTCACCGAGCTAACTTCCTGCCTCCTTCCCCAGTCACCCAGACATGCAGGCCCCTCCCTCACTGAGACACAGAGGCCTATTTTAACCCTTGGTGATGGGGTCATGCTAGGCAGGGCTGAGGCTTCTAACTGCTGCTGAGCACAGCTGGGCTAACAGGTGTGGAGTGTGGTGGCAGCTCCCCTCCTCCCCATGACCGCCTCTTCCAGGAAGTCAGAGAGGAGCCCTGCTCTTTGGCCTAAGGAGCCTGGACATAAGGCTCCTCTCCTCCACCCTTACCCAGGCCAGGACATGATCTAAACAGCTCCCTGCTCATATCCTGAATATTCCTGTTCTACCCTCTCAGCTGGTGAGGTCCTGGGTTTTAGGGAGGGTGACCTGCTCTAGCCCCATCCTGTCCCTAGAGAAAGGCCCAGTCATTCACCAGGATCTTCCTTGTGCCCTGAGCCAACACTCATCACCTCACCAAATCTTTCCAGCATTTCACTACGCTGCCCCCCATTTTAGAGCTGATGCAGCTGAGGCTTGAAGAACTCCAAGGCCTTTCTCAATCCTGATTAAGATTGTCCATGCCAGGATCCTTATTACCATCCCTAAGAAGAAGCACCAAGAACAGGGAGAGGAAGGGAAGGGCAGGCTGAGTCCTAGCTGAGGCAGAGGTGGGGCAGCCCAGTCTCCTAACCCCACATACCTCCTATACCTGACAGGAGACAACACACCAGGAAGAACCTCACTATCTGAGAACTGTGGGGCCTGGGGAAGAAGAGAGGACCCAACAGGCCCATCGTGTGCTCACAACAGTCCTGCAACATCGGAATTGTCAACCTCTCTTGGCAAATGAGAAGTGAAGAAGACTCAGGTTAAGCCACGTGCCCAAGGTCACACAGACAAAGAGCAGAGCCAGGATTTGAATGCAGGTCTGTCTGACTCCAAAGCTACGTGCCAGGCTGCCTCAGCTCCATCCCACACACACTCCCCAGAATTTGCTGAAATTTCAGTCAAGGCCTGGCCATGCCCACCTGCCCCCACGACTTCTCTCATACTCGTGTGCACGCGCGCACGCACACATACCCGAGCCCTCTCCCTCTTCATGCTCTCCTTCCCCCTTATCCTGCACTCCTAGGACCCTATACAGCAGTGTCCCTCACCAAGGACACCTCTCTGACCCCTGCCAAAGGCACTGCCCAGGGAAAAGTCAGCCCTTAGAACAGAGGGGAAGAGAACAAGCCTGGGAGAATGAAGAACAGGGAGAGGCTGAGGACAGGCTTTGGAATGAGACTGACCTAGATTCACATCTAGGCCTCCCCCGTTCTTAGATGGGTGGGCTGGGCAAGTCAATTGACCTCTTGAGGCCCATCTGTAAAATGGGATAATCTACCCCATCTCTGCCGCACATTCAGTGAGTGGTGCAGCAAAGCGCTTTGCCCACGATGAGTGTGCATGCAGGGGAGCTGCTGTCACTAAAGCCCCGGAGCCACTAGCAATGGGAAGGTGCAGGGTGAGCTAAAAAGAAAGAGACAGGGACAGTGCAAAGGAGAGCAAAGGCCTGTAGCCACACCCAGAGGCTGCTTGGTCCTGACCTGGATCCTCTTAGGTAGCCCCTTTGGTTGGGTCTTAAAGGCCTGCTTAGGATTCGAGCCCCACCCTGCCAAGCCCTAGGGAGAAGGGCAAAGGCTCTTCCTCAGGCAGCCCCAGAAGAACAGATCACCAGGCACAACCCTCTACGGGCAGCAAGGTGAGGAAACTGGGGCTCAAAGAAGGGAAGTGACTTGCCCAAGGTCACGGGAGTGGAGCCAGGTCTCTCCTAAGCCAGAGTTAGACAGTGGGGGGTAGTGCAAGTGTAAGGAGTCAGGAGCCTCCTCACTTCAGATCCCAGCTCTGCCACTCGATAGCTAGGCAGCCTGGGATGCGCAGCCTGGCCTCTCTGAGCTCCCGTCTCATCTGACCTGCCTTGTAGGGTTGTTCGTTAGTGTCTTTATTTTCTTTCTCGGTTCTCAGAGGCAATTTGGAAAATGTAGATAAATTACAGGGAAAAGAGAACCATGCAGGATCACCCTATCGTCACCAGTTCCTGTGAGGATGACGCTGAATAATGCAGTGTGCCTAGCCAGAGCAGGCACTCAACAAAGGTGTCCCCCGCTTTGCCCAGAGGGTGGTGGAGTAAGCACTAGATGGGGAGCAAGGAGACCTGAGGTTTCATTTTCATTCTGCCATTGAACTTGGTTGCTGTCCCTGGAGGTCCCTTTAAACAGCAGCTCCCTGACAAATCCTGTTCACCCTGCACTTTGCAGTCTGGCCACAAAGCCAGTGGCCACACCCAGGGTTGGGTTTGGAGCAGCTCCAGGTCACACCCTTGTCAAATGAGTAAGCAGGGGGCCAAGGCCTGCCCATGGGTCCGAGGAGCCAGGGCTCTGGGGCCTGGCAGGAGAGAGGGCTCTGGGCCTGATAGAAGTGCTCAGGCCCCAGTGGCTGCACCTTTAGGGTGGTCTAGTGCAAGGAGGCTCTCCTACTTCTTATGACTTGGGCAAGTGACTTCACGTCTCTGCTCAGCTTCCTCATCTGCAAGATGCCTCATCCCAAGCATCTTGACCAAGACCGCGAACATGAGGAGTGCCAAGCAGTGCCTGGCACACTCAAGGCGTTTGGTAAAAGGCCATTCTTGCTGAGATCACTGAGGCCCTCTGGGAGGGATGGTGCAGACAGATGCACTGGGGCTCCTCTGGGAGGGAAGCAGTTCAAAACCACAGCTGTTACTGAAACTCCGCCTGGGTGTCAGAAAGCAGCTGGCCAGAGGAGAGGCTGGGCCCCACCATTGAGCTCCTTCCCTAGGGGAGGCCCAACTCCGAGGTTGGACAATCTAGGGATAAGTCAATGTTGCATAGAGAAGAGACTGCCTGTCACCTGCATTGTGGGTCAAGAGACCTCAGGCCTGGTCTCCACTCTACCCTGTCCCCCTGTGTGGCCTTGGGCAGGTCACATGCCTTCTCTGAGCTCTGTAACATGGAGCTACTAACACCAGGTACTTCACAGGGTGCAAAAGGGGTTTAGGCTATAAAACGCTGAATGCAGGAATGCCACCTAGCCCTTGGTTTTGCTTGACCTGTAAAATGGGGATAATAGCACCTACCCCTGCCTCCTCCTCCCTCTTAGTTGGAAATAATGTGCAGGAAGGGACTCTGGATGTGGGCAAAGCATGATTCCAATAGCAGGAATAGGGGCTCTGCCTGCATCAAGTGATGGCTGGGGGCCTGTGCCTGCTGACTGGCACAGGTGTGGCCAGATGCCTTTGGAGGAAGGGAGTGGTCTTATCCCTGTACCTGAACTTATTCACCACACCCAAGGCTAAGCAAACCTGCAACACCCCCAGCTCCCCTCCCCAGCCTGCTTACAAAATCCAGAACCTGGAACTGGAACTGACCCGAGATGAGCTAGACCCCTAGCTACCCCATGGACACACACATTTTCCAGATGAGGAAAGTAAAGCCTAGAGGGGGCCTAGACGTATCCAAGGCCACAAGCAGTGGCACAGTCAGGACCAGAAACTAGGCTCCCCAACCACCACCTGCCCCCCAGGGCTTTTCCCACCCCTCCCCCACCCTATAGTTGTTTCCATTCCCATGAGCTCCAGGAACTCCCCTCCCACAAAACATGCCCTGTGCCAAGGTCAGCAGGCAACCTGGTGCCTCTACACTTTGGGCCTCCCTGGCAACAGGCCTGGGGCTTGAGGAGGGAACGGCCAATCTCAACAGGAACCCCAGGGGGCTACCCCCGATTTGCACCTGCTACTGGCAGTCTAGGAGGGAAGACTGGGCCTGGGGAAGGACCTAGGACAGATACTTGGGAAGGAGTTTGCTGAATGGACAATTTGGAGTCTGTCCAAGACAGGCTGGACCCAAGAGAGCCATCAGACCTCTCGTCTGTTTTAAAGTCCCCACGGTGTCCCCAGGCCAAGCCCTGTGCCTGGACAATAGCAGAGACCCAGTACTGGTTTCTGGGCAGACAATGAATGAAAGAATGAATGAATGGCGGCAGTGTTGGCTCTGTGGACTTCCCCAAGGTCACACTGTGTACTGAGGGAGTAGGCTGGGTCTCCATACTCCCAATCCATTGCTCATTCCACTCCACTCCAATGGAGGAGGTTATTTCACCCAAAGTCTGAAAATGAAGAGGTCTTTTACTCAGATATTGGGGGCTGTGGGTCGTTCTGGAGGCTGAACGCCAATCTTCCCTTCCAAAACTCTGGGTCCCAAGCGCCCCTCCCTTCTTCCTACATCCGGAAAAGCATAAGGAGAACGGGTAGGAGTCCCCAGCATTACCGGCAGCCGGCCTGCGGGCACGCATCGCACAGCTTGGCCCTCTGGTCCGTGAGGGGTGGCGTCGAGGCAGGTGCCCGGCGCCGCGGCGGGAGGCACCGTCTGCGGGTACAGCGAGGTGTAGTAGGTGGTGGTGGCCGGACAGAGCTGTGGGCTGCCGAGTCCGGGCGGCCACAGCTCGGTGGGGCTCATCGCGGGCAGTCCCTTTGGGGGTAGTCCAGCGGCCGGAGCCAGGGCCCGGGCCCCTCGCAGCATGGCGAGCGCAGCGCCCCCCCCCC